AATGCACTATTTAGTTATTTATTTATTTATTTATTATTTTTTTGTATAGAACTTTATATATATATATATATTCACTAGCTAAACCTACACGACTCACACACATAATTTAAGTATATATATTCACTAGCTAGAAGAATATTACTGTATACATGCATTAACCTCAAGATAGAAGCAATACTTTACAATTAAAGCTATACAATCAAGACTGAATATAGAATAACATGTATGCATGCATTTTTAAATTTAAGGGTAAAGTATAGTCACACCCCATGAGATTTGACAAAAGGACACTCAAATGAAGCTTACCTATTTTTTGGGCAAAGACGCCCCCTAAAGGTTAAAAAATGGACAAAGACACACATTTACATGAGAAATTAACCAAATTACCCTTTGACCGTTTATGAGACTTTTTTAACTTTACAATTTAATAAATTGGACCAATTTACCCTCATGAACAATTTATGCATAAAAAAAAAGGAACAAAAAAAAAAAAAAAAACTTTATATTGTTCACTTTTTTATTTATTTATTTTATTATTATTATTTTTTTAACAAATGTCCCAACTTCTTAAAAATGTAGATGTCTAAAATGATATTTTGATATAATACATATATTTCAAATAAATTATATCTTGTTATTACTTCTTTTCTTTTTCTTTTTTATTTTTAAATTAAGATGCTTAATTCTTTCATCTAAAAAAACTTAAACCAATCTCTTTTTCTTAAAAATAAAAAATATGGTACCAATATAACTTTATGCATCTTAAATTATATATCAAATATTATGTATTTCTCAACATAAAAGGGGAAAAAAAATAATAATAAAACAAAGGAAAAAAAAAATATAATAAAGGCATGCATAAAGTTAAGATGCATAAATTTTACAGGTACCTATTTTCTTTTATATTAGGAAATGCATAATCTTTGATATATAATTTAAGATGTATAAAGTTATATTAGTACCATATTTTTTATTTTTAAGAAAAAGAGATTGGTTTAAGTTTTTTTAGATGAAAGAATTAAGAATCTTAATTTAAAAATAAAAAAGAAAAAGAAAAGAAGTAATAACAAAATATAATTTATTTGAAATATATGTATTGAATCAAAAAATCATTTTAGACGTTTACATTTTTAAGAATTTGGGACATTTATAAAGTTAAAAAAAAATGAACAATATAAAGTTTTTTTTTTACTTTTTTTTTTTATGCATAAATTATTCATGAGGGTAGATTGGTCTAATTTATTAAATTGTAAAGTTAAAAAAGTCTTCTAAACGGTCAAAGGGTAATTTGGTCAAAATTTTATATAAAGGGTGTCTTTGTCCATTTTTGAACCTTCAGGGGGTGTCTTTGTCTAAAAAATAAGTAAGTTTACTCTAAGTGTTCTTTTGCCAAATTTCAGGAGGCATGGCTGTACTTTACCCTATTTAAATATAAGTTAGAAATATAAGATTCTTTTTATTCTAATTTTTCTCTACAAATTTTAACTTTAAAAACAGACGCATGCCATTTTATCATTGTGCCCCAAGTGCAGAGGAGACAAAAAAATTTCCTCGAAAAAACAAAAATACGATTTATATTTGCAATAAAAAAGAAATATTGATACAATTTCTTTCTATAAAATCAAGACTCAATATCGTAATTTACCGAGTAAACATGCAAAAGACTCGGACAGATGTAGACTAGAATGCTTTCTAGGATTTGCGATGGGAAAATAAAATTATTTGCAGTTAATGAACATGGCAGTGATAAATTTGATAAGAAAAAAAACCAAACTAATGTATTGAAATTATTGTTTACCTAAAAAAAATGTATTCGAATTATTGGACAAGGGAGTGAAGGAACACAGTGCCGCCCAGATATACAAGAAGAGTCACTGATCGATCGGTTTGTTGAAATATGTAGGTTCTGAATGAGAAAGAAATGTGAGGTTGGCTACATTTATATCCTACACATATGTCTTTAAGGACTTCAAATATGCTTTCTTTACCTAGAAAAAGGGTCCAAGTATGATTTCCGAACCAAGAATTGGTCAAGTTTTCCGTGGGGAAAGTAGAAGAAAGTTCTTTGTTTTCATCCTACTCTTTCAAGTACGTATACAATCAAAACAAAGTGCATCAAGATGTGCTAAATAAAGTTTCTTTTTTATTTATTTATTTATTTTTTTTTATGACTTGGGAACCATTTTGGTTACCTTCTTTCGGGCTGAAGTTACGAGGTAAACTTTCGGGTGCCAACACCGGCCTCACATTATAAACAACAAGATAAGTCAGAGAGAATAATGAGGATGGACGGGTTCAAACCCGAAACGTCGTAATTCCCCTTTAGTTATCTTACCAACACTACCGAGCCGCCGTGGCAACATCACTAAAGTTATTGGGTCAGTAAATCATAAATTGGTTGATCTTAAGTTCCAGTTATTAGGTCTGTACTCAATGGCCCATTATTGTTCCGGAGCCAAAGTTAAACTGAACCAGACTGGTCGCATACCAGTCAACGACAAACCTGACTAGACCGGACCAGCCATGGACTAACACGCTTGGAAAGCACAAAGCTTCGAAGAAAGAGTAGAGAGAGAGAGAGAGGTGGACGATAGTCTCTCTCGTTGTTCTCATATCAGAAACCCTAAGAACGATAATATCACGAATCGTTGATTCTTTAAGTCTTAGCTGATCAATCATCGTTCATCACATGGTTCGCTACAGCTCTCTCCCATCAACTCCTCTCAGATCGCCAGGTTTTGATGCGACGATCCAATGCTCGTACGCGAGATCACGATTTGGACTTCATCAAGCTACACCATCGCCCAAATTCACCAGATCGATCCAATGATTTCCCTCGGAACCCTTAACACAATACCACCATTACCAATGTCCTCCTAGTCTTCGCATCAATTGCACTAGCTTTTTTGTGTTATTTGTTCGTCTACTTGAACTGTCATCGGAATGTTAGGTTTGTATCCATTTCACTTCTCCCAGCACCCAGACTAGATAATGAACCTTTTTCTAAGCGGAGATTTTTTATTATTTTTTTGAAAATTATTATAAATAAAATAAAATTAGCCATTCTCCTTGTGTCTCAATTTTATTTTTTTATGTCTCAATGTCTTGAGTGCTTGGAAGTTGGAACTATTGTTATGCTTTTGCTAACAATTATAGTATGATAGTATGTTTAGAAAATTTACATTTTAATGTTCAAGATTGTTGGTTGTGTATGGCATATGTGACAAGTATTGGATAAATGTTTGAAATAAAAAAATTATTTTAAAATTTAGGATACATTAGGAAGTATTGAAAACGTATCCACGATTATATAATGGTACCGCACCTTACGGGAGCATCCATGCTTCATAGGTGAGAGGTTTAGGTTAGATGGTGTGGTATCAATTACCAATTGTTATCATGGTATGGTATGTTGACAAGTCAACATAATCTTCTAATTAACTTGGTGGTAATTTGAAAAGTCAAAATTGCACTAAATCTGGAAGGCTCGATCTTCTGAGCACCCCTAACCATGGCAAAGCACCAGGCCATCAAGCCTTGAGAGCTTAGCCCACGAGCACAAGCCCTGGTATTACATTAGGCCATTAAGCCTTGAAGGCTTAACGAGCACCTCAAACCCTAACATCGTACCAGGTTAATAAGCCTCAAGGGATTAACCCTCTAGCAACTCGAACCCTGGCAGCGCACCATGTCAACAAACCTCGAGGGAACAACCTGCGAGCGACTCAAGCCCTGGCATTACACCAGGCCAATAAGCCTTGAGAGTTCAGGCCTTGAGCATTATAAAACCCAGCAACATACCAAGCTGTTAGGTTAGTGCCTCGAAACACTAAAGCCCTAGAGAGCTCACCTACAAACTACTACACAGGTCCAAACATAGTACAAAACGAAGGTCGAGCCTTCGCAACTACATAGGACTTCACCTTAGGAAACTTAGAAGGATATTGGGCTAGTGGATGAGAAGTAAAGAAGTGCATCTGCTCTCAGCGAGGCCCGATCAACGAAATGATGGAAATATTACATTAGGACGGCAAACCTTAAAATCACATTTAATGCTATGACAGAGTTGGCCAATCGACGGCCAAGCAAGAACAACAACATAGTGCATGGCTCGATGAGAGGATTGGACCTCTTAGGCTCCTAGGCTCATCAGGACTACCCATGTGGTCATGGTTAGAAACTAGACACGCGAGGGACTGCTGGTTAATAACCAGCATAATCCAGGCATATAAATAGCACTATCGCAAGAAAGAATGCCAAGCCAGAAAAGAGCTGTCATAAGTATTGTATATCTGCCCTACCTCCATTTTAATCTTAAAGATTGGTCTTCTTCTCCTCCTTCACCAAGCATCTTCTTTGTTTTCTTCACATTTGTACCCTTGATATCTCCATTATACGTTTGTTTATTATATTATTAAAAAAAGAACCCTTATAGATAGGAATCGGAGTCGCATTGTATTTTTTTTTTTTTTTTTTCCTTTTTTTCAAATTGTTTTCCTTTTATATCCAAATTGAGGGAGGTTTTAGATGCTTGTGCTAACTTAAATTGATTTTAGAAGGTCACTAAAACAAGGAGAGACAATGATAGGATATGTAATTTGTATGATGGATGTCATGCAAATTTTTTCTAAGGTTTTCAAAATTGTGATTCTACGAGAATCGCACGACTCTATGATCCTAGCCACAGAATCGATCCAAATCGCAAACTTCTACGATCCCAGCCACAAAATCGATCCAAATCGCAAACTTCTACAGTCCCAGCCACAGAATCGATCCAAATCGCGAATCGCCTCAGAATCGGTAGAATTGGGACTTGAATCGCACGATTCTAGCGACTTAGCCCGATTTTGACTTATTCCTTTCTTAGGCTAAATTTATGGCCCTGTTCACTTTTTTTTTTTTATGGTTGGGCTTCTTAAAAAACAAAGGCCCACGGCCCAAAACAGCAATATAGCATTACAACTCAAATCCGAAGCCCTACTTTTCTGCCTCCCAACACAACCCGTAGCTCTCGTCTCTCTTCTACTCCTCTCTCGTCTTAGACACATCGCGACACAAGTCACACCACCCGTAGCTCTCTTCTACTCTTCTCTCGAGTCTCGATATCGCTGGCTCCTCGACAAGTCATCTCTTCTCCACAAGTTGGCTTCTGTTCGACATCGCTGTCTCCTCGACAGACTTCAATCGACATGGATAGCTTCAATTAGGCACTCAAACTCATTTGCTGGCTCTTCGACATCGATTTGGTTGACAGTTTGACACTCTCTTCGACGGACTTCTCACATCACTCAAACTCAAAAGGTGTACTTTTTTAGTTTCTGAAATTTGTTCATTTTTCTGAATATGATGATTGAAATTTGTTCCTTACTTCATTTTTTTGTTCAAATAAATTTTTTTTTTGTTCTGCATCTGTTGAATGACTGAATCTGTTCTCTGTTTTTTTTTTTTTTGTTGTTGTTCTGAAGGGTCTGTTATCCACCCAGATTAACTCCCTCAAATCAAACCAAACTTCTGTATTGCAATGTTTTACTTGTAATTACGACAATCAAGTCTGTGCACTCCTTTATTAGAACACATCTTGCTTCTGTTCTGTTCAAGTGTTCTTTTTTCGGATGAATATGATGATTGGAATACAATGATTGGAAAATAAAAAATAAAAAACAGTTCTTTCATGTAAGTTAGTAATTAGCTAAATTAGCTTAGTAGTTAGTAACTTTGTACTTAGATAGTATTTTAGAAGTTAGTTTGAACTGTTTTTTTACTAGTTGGGAGAATAGTAAGATTCTTGATCCAATTCTACTATTCCTATTCTACGGAGCCCAAAACAATTCTAGGTAGAATCCCGATTTTAACAACCTTGATTTGTTTTTCCCATTTTATTTGAGAGTGGCATGTTAAGGTGAGGATATGGCCTGCGCCATATGATAATAGTTGATAGTTCTACCCATATAGCATTTTGGACTTTTTAGCCACATGTCCAACACATGCATGGATACTCTTTACATCTTTTTTGTGCTCACAAATGTAGAAACACATACGGTCACAAGTATTTCAATTTGTACTTTTATCTATTGGTGTGTTGCCATTTGTTTAGTTTTGGTTGATAGCCTTCCGGTGATTACTCTCTCTGTGGTAGTTTGAACCACTTGAATTTTTTTCATAAGATCCCTTGGTTCATTGTAATTTGATTTAATACTACACAATCTACAAGCTTAATGTTAGGCATTTTGATTATTTTAGGTTCTGATGAAGGGATTTATGCTTGGGTTGTTGCAAATTATTGCCTTGGCACTCTTGGGCAGGATCCTCATCAAACAACCGGGATTATTGAACTTGGTGGGGCCTCTGCTCAGGTTCAATTTCCTTTTCCCTTTTTGTTGGTGGATTGTATTTGTGAAAAATGTGGATCATATTACATGAGACATGGACATGGACCAGTGTAACATATTCTGGTAGGATGCATATCTGGAATAAATTATTGGCCTAAACTTTTGTACAGCAATTTCTCATGGAACATATGGAAGATCTCCAAGGATACTCAATTTTGGAGAACGACATTGTTCATTCTGCACTTAGAATAGTCGGAGCTCTATGTTTCACTTCTTCCTGAAGTAGATGAACACCATCTCAAGATATTGGATGCTGTTAAAAGCAGTCTACTGGGTGGAGTGCTTTTTAATTGGTGCTTTCACCTTGAGAACCAGTTAAAGAGCTAAAGTTTTGCATGCTGATAGAAATGTGGTACCTCAACCAATAAATCATTGTAATTTTTCCATTTCAGTGTTTATTTATTTTGAAATGATTTAAAACAATTTTGTGTGGTTAATACTGTTGGAAAGCATAAGACATGTGATTGTCAATGTGAATGATTGAAATAACTGTTATTTCAGGTGACCTTCATTTCAAGTGAGCCAGTGCCCCCTGAATTCTCTCATATAGTTAAATATGGGAATATCACTTACAATCTCTACAGTCACAGCTTGCTTCATTTTGGTCAGGTAAGCTTTACTGTTTTCCCACCAAATTATTTGTGTTCACTTAGTGGTATTAAAACGTTTGTTTATAAAATGTTTCAAATATTCAGCTTGCGGTAGTGAAATTCAGAAAGTATGCCAATATTATTGTTGGTCTTGTCTTCTCACTGAAATATCCTGATGTTCACATGTTTACGTGTAGTTTATTCCATTCTTGATTTCTTCTACATACGCATATATTTTTTTTCTTTAGGGCCTTTTCTGAGTTCTAGTTTGCAATGAAACTTCTGCTCTACATTGAGAGCCCAATAGTTCCTCTTTAAGCGGACTTCTCTTCACAATCTCAGTATCAAATAGTGATGACCTCAAATTGAACATGTTTATCTGCTTTGGATATGACATTTATCACTCAGTTGAGACTGGATTATCACAAGAAGTTTGTGTGAATATTGGAATTTTATAGAAAAGGTAGGAGCTTAAAACGTAGATGGTTAAATTTCTCTCCATTTCTGGCCCATCTTAGCAAATATGATCCAGATTTTGTGATGTTATCAAGAATCTATTCAAAAGTCTGACTCACTATTGATATTTCTCATTTGTTGTAGGAAAATGGTCATTAACTAGTGTTAGTCCTATCTATGATGGATGATAGAAGGGTAGCCTGGACACAAACCCTTCCTTCAGTATAAACTTGCTCAGTTCGACAATTCGCAGGTCTTAATTCAGCTTCTTGCTCTTGGAAGTACCATTGCTTCAAGCAATAGTGCACAACAAGTAGGGCTGCAAATGAGTATAGCCAAGCCGTGCTTACCTTGTTCGGGCTCGGCTTGAGCTTGGGCGAGCTTTGTTCAAGCCAAGCTCAAGTTCGGCTCGTCAAAATTTTGGCAAGCTCGGGCTTGGCTCAAGCTCACCTACATATTTAACAACATACAAAAAAAAATATTGATAAATAAAATAAAAAATCGAAGAGATTCAGATTTGTACAGTAATGTATTCGAAGAAGGAAGAAAATCGTTGTCCTCCCTTTCGCTAACCTCCCATTTCCGATCATCTTCCTCAAGAAGACAACGGCGAGTCGGTGATAATGATTCTATCAACACTGATTAGGAGTCTTCACCCAGGAAGTTTGACCGTCATACAAGTCTATAAATCAAGATAAACTCCAAGTGTCTTGGATAAAGATGAGCATACGTTCCTTGGATAAAGATGAGCATACGTTCCCCCTCCATGTTGGAAAAGTAAGAGGTGTAACACTCCTATTTTAATGCAACTTGACACCTCTATAAAGGGGGCTTTCGGGTCAATAGAAAAGGTACGACACAAGTCCCTAGGCCGGTACTACACCGGTGCCCTCCCGATCATCCTTTTTCTTCTTTTTTTCCCACAGACGGTACTAACTGTTGATGTAGGATTCCGCAGCAACCTGAAGCGACGTCGTACTTAGAAAAGAAAGGAGAAAATGGATGATCGGGAGGGCACCAGTGTGGTATTGGGCTAAGAGCCTCCAACGATCAAGTTAGTACTAGATCGGCCGGTACCACAGACTGCACCAACTGTTGATGCAGGATTCCACGGCGACCTGAATCGACGTCGTACCTGGCTAACCGTTTATAGGTTGATTCATGGATCTAAAAATGATCCAAAGTCATTTTTGATGAATAAAGAAGGGTAGTATATGAAGATTTCAGGTCCAAAATTGTCAATTTATCATCACTATCCTCAAATGGGAGGGGTATCTGCATATATATATTTTTAATAGTATAAGGGGTTTTGTATAAAAACAAAAGTTTAGGGAAGTTTTCTACAAAATCATGAAAGTTGAGGGCTTTTTTTTTTTTTTTTTTTTTTTTTTCAGTTTACCCTATTATTATTATTATTATTATTTAACAAGTGAATTCCTATTTTATCTTCTTTTTCTCTTTTGTTATTTTTTTTCCCTTCACTTTCCCTTTGTTACCAAAATATGATCTATAACCCCCTTTTATTGGAAATCATTGCTGCTTGTTTACTACTAGATTAGATCATCCAACTCTTAACCATCAACCATGCCATTTATACTTTGTACATGAAATTGCAATCAACTTTTATCTATGTAAAGAATATTTTCTTGAAAATTAAGGACTGGATTTAAACTACACAAACTGAAATGGAACAATGGCTGAGTCCACTGAGTTGTATCTTGGCCAATTTGTGTCTCCATTTAAGCAGTGTTTGGAGTTAAGGACACAACTTTTTCCCCAGGTGAGCTTCAAAGGAAAACAAAGCACGTTACAATCCCAAGGGGTGGTTTGCCAGTGGCAAGGTCACTTGGCCCTGGTGCCCCATAAAGCATTAGATTTGAGGTTCGACTTGCACTGAATACAAACAATTTGATTTGGGAGCCACCCCAGGTTAATCTAAAAAATACATACATTACACTAATTTACCCTGTTCCTAGAATTTGACTTTTTTTTTCTTTCTTGGCCTTGTGGCTAAAAATCAAGCGTAGTACATGTTCTTATCAGTTTTAACATCATGTTCAAGCAAAAAACATGTGCAAGTTACTGATTTTATTATATACTGGCAGTCTATGGTGAACTGTCATGATTCAAGTTGGTCTGATATGGTTTATAATGTTTTTTACAGAAGCATATGTACCTAAGACGCAAACAAAAACTCCCATGACCAGAATTGCCACAATAAGCATCACCTCTGATCCGAAACTCAAAGAACCTTTGTTGATCTTCAGGTAGCAAAGGCAGGGGAACAAAATCGAGACACTAACGCTCAGAAATGCTCCAATAAACACCATCACATAGCCGAAAAAGGGAACGGCGCCACAATAACAGTGCTGATCAACAGAACTGTTCTGATGAGGAGACTGATGGATCTGCTGGTTTTGAAAGGAAATGTGGCCTCAAGAGCTGTGGCAATTGGAGATACAATTATGGCATATTTGGTGATGGGGTTGATTAATGTGGTGTATATTGCTATTTTGGAGCTTATGTTTCTTGTAGGGAGATTTAGTGTCACTTGAGACATCAAATTTTCTCCATACATTAGGTAGCCTTTAACTGCCATTGATCCATAGCTGATGGTGCTTAGAACAAAGCGCACAAGTAGAACCTGCAATGAAAGTGAATACAATGAGAAAGGTAATCATCATATCCAACCAAAATTCTTTATAATAATAGTACACTAATTGTTAGCCTTTCATGGAATTACTAAGAAGGGTAAAACGGGCTTTAGGCCAGTTTTGCTTATGAAAAAACAAAATTGACAAGTTTTTGTGTTGCCGGTCTTGGACACAGATTTTAGTCTCTATGGTAACTGAAATATAAAAGTATTATGATTGAGAACACTAAAAACCGAGACTGAGAGTGAAAGAAACAAAGGATCTATTGGGATTAGGGTTTTGAGAGACTTTTAAATTCCTTTCTTTTTCACATGGTCAAAATTCAAACTCTCCATCAATCTTTATTGTAGACGTAATTATAAGTTGAACTATGATAAATCTTTCGTTTTGTGTGATGTGCAATTTTTGTTATATGTGAATTCTTAATTATTTCGTTCTTAACTCTCTTCTTCAATTTATTTTATTTTATTTTATTTTATTTTTTTCTTTTTTAAAAAGTCCCTTTAAATCAAAATTTGAGGTTCTAACCCTCTTATCTGGTTAGAGATAATCACATGACAGATTAATAAATGCATAATTATTATTTGGTAATTCAACTTGACAACGTGTTCTCCCAACTATTTGGATGTCATTTTTGTACTTTGCAAGGCAAGTGTCACATCTTGATTTACAATCAACTAAAGGTAATTTTGGTGTAACCCTTTCCAAATACTGCATTACCCTCAAGTTCAACATGCAACTTGTCACTTTTATTTGTTCTTACATTTTATTTGCTTTCCCTATCTTGATTTATTTCTCATTTCCAATCAATTTGACATGAATAAGAATTGATGTTATATGAGAAAAGGTAAAACCATGAAAAAAAATACACTAATCAACATCTTTAACTTGAATACTTAATGATGAGCACTAGCCTAAGTGAATAAAGGGGAGGTTGAGAGTAAGTTTTCCTTAGACACAAAATATTATGTGTAGGGTTGATTAGTAAGAATTTCGAAAGAGTAGGCTTAGATGGTCTGAACACATATAACGGAGACCTAGCGACGCTCTGATGAAGCTAGAAAAACTAGTTGTAATAGAAGGTAAGAGATGAAGAGGATGTCCAAAAATAAACTGCAATGAGGTTATTAAAAATGACTTTAAAAGGTTAAACATAATAGGAGAAATGACATGCAATAGAAAAAATTGGAGAGGGAATTCATGTGGTTGACCCCATTTATATGGGATTAAGGCAAAAATGATGATGAAGACGATGACGACAACGATCATAAGAAAAAAATGTAGTGCATGAGTTTGCTTAGGCTTCAAGGGAAAAACCAAAAACTTGAATACTTGGGGTACTATTTCTTACCTTAGGAAACTGGCTCCTATCTTTCATGGAATTGCTTAGTGTGGGGAAGACTGCATGACCACAATAACAAAAGGTAAACAAGCTCATGGTTATAGGCATTCCTCTTCAATTCACAAGCTCTCCTCTCTCATGAAACCCCACACCATGATCAACTGCACCAGCACAGAAAACAGAACCAACCAGAACAATGGAGGCCAAAACCCCGCCGGTCGATACATAAGCCAGCAAACCCAAACTCCTTAACCATGTTGTTGGCAATATGACTAGGGCAGTGAGCAGAACAAAGCCTTGTTTGCCTCCGAACTTGAGGCCAGCAATGTGAAAGTTGGTGTTGGGGAACAGCTTATTCAAATTGTCCCCTTCCAATATCAGAAACTCAACTGCAACCAAAAAGAGCTCAAGATACATGAAAGTGGACACCATGGCTCTTCCTTTACCCCTGAAGGCCAGCTCGCCTACGTCCGGATAAGTTTTGATCAGCGGATGTGCATCCATGCATCGTCGTAGGAGTAGTCCTGTGTAGAAATAGAGAATTGCTACCACGAAAAGTATAATCAAGCTCAGCCACCCTCCCTGAGAGAGTGCATATGGAATTGACAATATCCCAACACCTGAGAAAACAAAGTATGAAACATTAGTCCTCTTTTAGTGCATTTACAATAGCCAAAGTCATAAATGTGATTGTATGTATTGATACTTTCCGTTTTGCATACTCTCCGTATTCATGATTTTCAAAACGTGTTTACACAGTTATAAGACAAGTGCCAACAATCTCTTCCCTAAACGACAAGGGATGCCACTATTTGGGAGATAAATTTAACTCCTTGAATGATATGGTGTAGGAAATGATGGTGAATGCATCGAGAAAACACACATACAGACAGCTATATATACACACACACATATAGAGAGAGAGAGACCTGATAAGGCATTAAGCCCATTGAAGCAAGTTCTAATAAAAGAGGTGCCTTCGCTTGGTTGCTGTAATTGTGGAGGCTGGTTTTGGTTCTCTTATCTTCTCTGCACTATATGAGTCCATCTTTTCTTTTGGTGTCTACAATCCAAAATGTTGGTTCAAATAATAGAAAAGACGATAATGAAAAGAGGTGACAAATCATATATTTTATAGTCTTCTTCTTCTTCTTCTTCAAAAAAAGATTTTTAAATGCTTGGTTGTGGAAAGAAGATTGTGGGGATGAGTAGATTGCCATTCAAGTTCAGCACCAATAAAAAAAATGCATGGTCTGGTACAATCTCAACAGGAAAAAAAACTGCTTAATTCCTCAGGTACAATCACAATTACATTTTTAAAGTGTTATTCATACCTTTTTTGGCTGATCATAGTTTATCAATCTTGAATAACTTTTCAATTTCGAAGCCAATCTCAATTTTGATATGATAATTTAAAAATTACAAACAATATTGAAATTAACCAAATTACAAAAATTATATCTCATGTTATTTTTGCAAGTGAGTGGTCAATGTAGATGACTTTGACTTATAAAGTGACAAGTCACTGACTTTAGCATACTAAAAGAATTTTCAAAATTGAATGAAAAATAAAAGAATAAAACAAATGGAACGTGTAGAAAAACGTTGAGTATGGTAGGGTTCTTAAAAAGTTAGTTGTAAGCAATGATCACCAGGACTGACCAATTCATAAAGCAGGTTTTTTTTTTTTTTTTTTTTTTTTTTTTCAAAAAAAAACAATGGTCTAACAAATCCTAGGCACGGACTAAGACCAGTGGGGCCCCACTGGATTTTTTATATTTTTATTTTATACTTAAATATTTTAGAATTTATGAAGATACTCCAACTATAATTATAATTCGCCCCTGTTGGATTATTTTTCTGGCAATTTATGCTTCAAATTTTTGAGATTTTTTTTAATATGCCCCCACTAATATTACAATTCGCCCCACTAGATTTTTTTTTTTTTTTTTTTTTTTTTTTTTTTTTTTTTTCATTTTACACTTTGAATTTTAAAAATTTATGAAGAAAACTCCATTGAAATTACAAAAATGAACCCACTATATAAATTTGCCTCCATATTTTAAAAAACTGTCCCCCCTTCACAAAATTTTCCAGGTCCGTCACTGATTATACCTAAGTAAAACGGGTCAAGTGCAAAAAATACTCTTAAAGTATTCTTAACAAGCATATCACACTCCTCACGTACAAAAAATATCCCTAAAGTTTTAATTTGGTACAAATAAGTCCTTCTAACAAATTTAAACATTAAGTTGACTAAATTACATTTACGAACTATTTTGTAAAATATATAAAAATAAATAATTTTATAAAATGGAATCCATGTTCTATTTGTTCGTTAACGCGTAAAAGGGAATCCATGTTTTATTTGTTCGTTAACGCATAATTTAATTGTTGTGAGTAGACCTGTCAATGAAACGGATCCTGATTCGAATCAGATCCGATTATAACCCGATTATAATCCGAATTCGATAATCTGTTAGCCTAACAAATCGGATATGGATTATGCTGATTCGATCAGATCCGATCCGATCCGAATAAATTTTTATATATAAATAATTATTTATCAATAAATATATATATATATACACACACACACTCATATCACATTTGTATTAGAGGTAACCCCCAAAAAAAAAAAAAAAAAAAAAAAAAAAAAAAAAAAAAAAAAAAAATCATAATGTTATATGTATAATAGTGTGATGTTCTCAGTCACATACTAATAAATCTTCTAATATACATACCAATTATATCATACTTTTTATTCATTAACAAAGAGAGAATAAATTTTTTTTTTCTTTTCCTTTCATATTTTACTTATTATTTGTTTTATATCTTTTTCTTATAATCATCGTTTTTTTTTTTTTTTTTTTTTTTAAATTCCCTTTTGACATTAATTTATATATATATATATATATATATATTAATTGTAAAAAAACTACATTTTTATCGGATCGGATCGGATTATCAGATCAAATATCCATTTATTAATAAATTAGATTCGGATTAACTTACAAAATATCTGTCGGATTATTAGATCGGATCGACTGAAATGATTATCGGATTCGGATTGGATCAGACCTAATCCGGTCCGAATCCAATTAAATTGTCAAAAGCGAGTAGAAAAGCATTAAGTACAGGAAAGGAGGCTAAACATATCTTAGAGTGTGTTTGGATTGAGGAAAGTAGATAAGAAGGCAGGGGAGGATTTCTTGTGTTTGGTTTAACAACAATGAGATAAAGGGTAAGTGCAAAAAACACATCGGAAGTATACTTTTCATAGCACTTTTACCCCCTATTTAAAAAAGTGTGCAAAAAATTAACTCTATTCTTTTCAATTTGTGCGAAAATACCCATCAATTAATATAATAACCATTTTACCCTTTTACTCTTCCAAAAATGTCCCAACCAAACCTTACTTCTTATTCTTCTTCTTCTTCTTTGTGTGTGTGTGTGTGTGTGTTTTCTTTCCAAGTGGTTTTTAGACTACAAAAATGTATTTGATAGAATGATTTAAAAGTTTGTGTAGTAGCAAAATGACCATTTTTCAGTGGACTATGGTTTGACTTGTATGGATTCCTTCAAATTTCAAAGAATTTAATTTGTACATATCCATTTGACCATGAAAATGCAAAGATTTATAGTCATGGCAATGATTTGGCAACTGATTAACTACATATGCATTATACAATTTAGGGTAAAGTACAGAGACACCCCCTCAGGTTTGGGTAAATGCCATGTAGAGGAAAATTTGCTTATTTTTAGACAATGACACTCCTTCAAGTTTGAAAAATGAACAAAAAGACCCTGAAGATGGTAAATTGACCTTATTACCCTTTCATATAAAATTAACATTTTAATTGACTTAAATACCTTTGAATTAAACCCAAACCCATCTCTAACCCGAACCCGAACCCGCCTGTGTAAAGAACCCTTTTTCATTTTCTCTCTGTATGTACATTGAAAAAATTGGGGACTGTTCTTGTAAAGAAAAAGACTTTGAAATGAAATGCAAGTTGGAGGAAAAAGGCACAGAGCGGGACGTAGAAGGGATGCCAATAGAATCCCTTTAGTGAAACTAATTGATTGTTCTTCGATAACAGGAGTGGGGGTACCGGAATCAATGTCGGGACAGACGGATTCCGCCGCCTCCACCTCATTATCATTCTCATGTGGTGGTGCTGGAACCCATTGTCATGGTGGTGGTGACGACGCATGCCACCAAGGAACATCATCATAGCGAAGTCAATGTTCTCGCCGGACAATATCATGTCATTAGCGTATGAAATTTCGCGTCCGTGAAGACAAGGGTTCATCGGCTTGAAGCGGTGGTTGCAACTATAGCGAGAGAAAAGGAAAGAGAAGGGACGTTTTAATTGGAAGTGACGGTTGATTGGAGCTTAAAGCAGTGGATTTGTTGGTGTTGTGTTTGAGGTCGTCGTAGGTGATGGTGGTTGAGGTATGGCGATTGAGGTTTGTTGCAGCTTTGGTGGTGGGTTTGAGAAGGGTTTTTTTTTTTTTCAATGTAATTGAGAACTGGGTTTGGGTTTGTGATGATGGTGGTTGGGTTGGCTTTAGCAAGTATAGAAATGATGGTGGTTGTGTTGGGTATTGCTTGGTTCGAGTAAGTTCCATTTGGGTTTAGCAAGTACAGAGGTGGCGGTGGCAGAGCTCCGGCGAGGTCGAGGTTGGGGGTTGTGGTTACTATGATTGTTTTTGTGTATATTATATATATATATATATATATATATATATATATATATATATATGTATGAAAAGGGTAATTTGGTCATTTAAGTATTTTGATATTTTATAATTAAAATAAATAAAATAGTGAAAGTGGACTTTTCACATGTTTAAAGGCTTTATTTGAATTACAAATTTCACAAAGGGGTGTGACTGTCCAAAAATAAGCAAACTTTCCTTTGGATGGCCTTACACCAAACCTCAAGGTGTCTCTGTACTTTACCCTACAATTTAATATGCATGGACAGACTTTTACTCCATAGTGAGTGAGAAAGAGGAATACCAATGGAGGAAAATGGTTCACAAGTTGTAATAGGAATAGGAAGACACCAAGTCTCTCAAACCACAAATGGTCAATAAGGCTTAAAAGCCTTAAATCAAGGGCAAGCAAGCTACAACAAACTGAGTTTGGTTTTGCCGACGTGAACTGGTTTCGTCGACATGAATTGATTAGTAAGGCTTAAAAGCCTTAACCACGAATTGAGTTTGGTTTCGCCCACACTAGGAGCTCACCATTGCTTTGTCGTCGCTTGGGAGAACACGCCGAAGTGAACTGGGTTTCGGTACTTAGAGCTTCACCGGAAAGAATGGAAGCTTATGTTCGAAGCTTTAGAAAGATGGATTTTGGTAACGTCATGCCCATCCAAGCCCAGCCTTTCCACTCAATAGATCCACATCCGTTGCATCACAAGGAGCAATTTGAGGAAGAGTCGTTCATTCGACCCATACGCCGTTTGTTCCAGAGTGTATCAATCAAATTTCTCTGGTTTATTGTTGTCATTCTATCATCCCCTGTCTTCTAGTAAGATTTCAGTCACTAAACACCAACCCCAATACCTATGAAAAAAAGAAAGATTCCACTACGACTACTGACTATATTATCCAATTCTCAGTCTAGTCCTTTGGACTAGAAGAGTAGTGCTACTGATAGAGTTTTGCAACCTTCCAAAATATGTGGGATTATTTGGGCTAGTTGCTGGTCATAACAACTTGGAGTTCTTATGGGATTATTTGGAGTGGGTCTTGACAACTTGGAGTTCTTGTTCACCGACGAGTCTACAACTCACTGGAGATGACGGGTCTTCTCCAGTGTTCCCTTCCCTCTATGGGGAGTAGGGGCGGAGCTAGCATAGGCCCAGGGGGGCCCCATGCCCCCCCCCCCCCCCCCCGGGCCCATGCTGGTCCATTAGTTTTAATTACAAATGGCTTATGATTTATAAAAAAGTTTTCAAAATGCCCCCCCTAAAATAATTTTTTTCTAGAAAATGGCCATTAATTTTTATTACACACAGGCCAATAATTTATAAAAAAGTGAAAAATGCCCCGTGAAATAATTATTTACCCTTGTGCCAATTAATTTTTATTGCAAATAGGCCTATAATTTATAAAATTTTACAAAAATACCCACTGAAATAATTATTTTTTAAAAATATCTTTAAATTTTCCTTTCTTTTCATTCTTACTCCTCCTCCACTTCTTCTTCTTCTTCTTCTTCTTCTTCTTCTTTTTTATATTCTCTTAAAAAACAAAAAAGTTGCATTCCTGTATTCAAACTTTTTTTTTTTTTTTTTTTTCTCTTCAAAGTTTGGTAATTAAATTTGTTCCTAAACGGACTCTTAAGACTAGTATTTTATGTTTCCATTTTTTTTAAATAATTATTTTTCAAATTATTAAATGCTATTATTCCACCATTATTGCAGTTCTATTTTTTGATTTATCGTTTTGCATCACTATTCGCTTGAAAAAAATATAATATGACGCCCCCTGAAACAAATTTCTGGCTCCGCCCCTAATGGAGAGGATCCTTGTTGAAGATATTTGCCATTATTATTATTATTATTGGGTTATGTAAAAGTTCTCCTCATTTTTCCCTGCTTTGCACAAGCCGTAGGTAATCCCGTCAACTATTTGAAAGTTACAACTTATATTCAATCCGTTAAAGTGTTGTTAACATATATATCTAATATACCATTTTACTCTTCAAAAAATGAAAATTAAAAAACATTGGTTTTAAAATGACAAAAATATTAGGATATATATCTCTCCTAATATGGATAACCGTTTATAGGTCGATTCATGGATCTAAAAATGATCCAAAGTCATTTTTGATGAATAAAGAAGGGTAGTATATGAAGATTTCAGGTCCAAAATTGACAATTTTTCGTCATTATCCTCAACTGGGAGGGGTATCTGCATATATTTTTTTGAATAGTATAAGGGGTTTTGTATAAAAACAAAATGAAAGTTGAGGGGATTTTATTTTATTTTTTCTTTCAGTTTACCCTTTTATTATTATTAGTATTATTTTTTAACATGTGAAATCCTATTTTATCTTCTTTTTCTTTTTTGTTATTATTTTTCCCTCCACTTTCCCTTTGTTACCAAAGTATGATCTATAACCCCCTTTTTTTTCTCCTTCCCTTAAATACTCAATTTGTTCATTATTGGAAATCATTGCTGCTTGTTTACTACTGTACAAGATTAGATCATTGCCAACTCTTAACCATGCCATTTGTACTTTGTACATGAAATTGCAATCAGCTTTTATCTATGTAAAGAATATTTTCTAGAAAATTAAGGACATTTAAACTACACAAACTGAAATGGAACAATGGCTGAGTCGACTGAGTTGTATCTTGGCCAATTTGATCTCCATTTAAGCAGTGTTTGGAGTTAAGGACTCATCTTTTTCCCCAGGTGAGCTTCAAAGGAAAACAGAGCACGTTACAATCCCAAGGGGTTGGCCCAGTGATAAGGTTACTTGGCACTGGTGCCTCGTAAAATATTAGATTTGAGGTTCAACTTGCACTGAGTAAATCAATTTGATTTGGGAGCCGGTTAATCTTAAAAAAAAAAATGCATTACACTAATTTACCCTGTTCCTAGAATTTTAATTTTATTTTTCTTTCTTTCTTGGTCCTTGTGGCTAAAAATCAAGTTTAGTACATGTTCTTATCAGATTTAACATCATATTCAAGCAAAAAACATGTGCATGTTACTGATTTTATTATATATTGCCAGTCTATGGTGAACTTGTTGGCTTTTTTTTCTGATACCACTCGTTGGCTTTTGCTCTGATACCACTTTGTTGGATAAGTGGACGGGCTAGAGACACACACTACACAATAAAATGGAAGAGGAATTGAGGTACGGAACTCTTAAAAATATATTATATTCTACTCATACTATTTCATCTTTTTCTCTAACTCCTTTTTTTTTCCACATAAAATAAGTATAAAACATGAATTTATACAGGCTCTAAGACATATATAACTAATTACATTTCAATGCCCAATTACTCTCACTAATCCCACTAACATAGTATTTAGTATACTTAACTCTCATGTCTTCCATTAACACAAATACAAACTCCCACTAACACACAATATTAAAGGACTTGTAACCTTCACAAAAACACTAAAAACCACATAATCAAGTTTAATTTCCAACAGAACTGTCATAATTCAAGTTGGACAGATATGGTTTACAATGTTTTTTACAGAAGTATATGTACCTAAGACACAAACAAAAACTCCCATGACCAGAATTGCCACAATAAACATCATCTCCGATCCGAAACTCAGAGAACCTTTGTTGATCTTCAGGTAACAAAGGCAGGGTAACAAAATCGAGACACCAACGCTCAAAAATGCTCCTATAAACGCCATCACATAGCCGAAAAAGGGAACGGCTAGCGCCACAAAAACAGTGCTGATCACCAGAACCGTTCTGATGAGGAAACTGAATGATCTGCTATTTTTGAAAGGAAACGCGGCCTCAAGAGCTGTGACAATTGGAGATACCATTATGGCATATTTGGTGGCGGGGTTGATTAATGTGGTGTATATTGCTATTTTGGAACTTATGTTTCTTGTAGGGAGATTTAGTGTCACTTGAGACATCAAATTTTCTCCATACATTAGGTAGCCTATAACTGCCATTGATGCATAGCTGATGGTGCTTAGAACAAAGCACACAAGTAGAACCTGCAATGAAAGTGAGTACAATGAGAAAGGTAATCATCATATCCAACCAAATTTGCTTATAATAATAGTACACTAATTGTTACCCTTTCATGGAATTACTAAGAAGGGTAAAACGGACTTTAGGCCAATTTTGCTTATGCAAAAACAAAATTGACATGTTTTTGTTTTGCGGGTCTTGGATCCAGATTTTAGTCTCTATCGTAACCCGAAATATGAAAGTAATAAGATTTAAACTTTATATAAAAGAACACTAAAAATCGAGATTGAGAGTGAAAGAGGAAGGATCTATTGGGGTTAGGGTTTTGAGAGACTTCGAAATTCTCTTATTTTTCACGTAGTCAATACTCCTCACCGACCTTTACTGACGTAGTTATAAGCTGAACTATGATAAATCTTTTCGTTTTGTGGGGTTTGCGATTTTTGTTTTCTGTCAATTCTTGATTATTTCGTTCTTAACTCTCACTTCTTCATTTTTTTTAAATAAAAAATTTCCCTTTAAATAAAAATTTAAGGTTATTTAAATCTGGTTAGAGATAATCAAATGACAGATTAATAAATGTATAATTATTATTTGGTAATTCAAGTTGACAATGTGTTCTCCCAACTATTTGGATGTCATTTCTATATACTTTGTAAGTCAGATGTCACATCTTGATTAACTATCAACTAAAGGTAGTTTTGGTATTCTCCTTTCCAATACTTCAGTACCCTCAAATTCAACAGGGAACTTGTCACTTTTATTTGTTGTAACATTTTATTAGCTTTCCCTATCTTGATTGATTCTCTCATCTCCAATCAATTTGACATGAATAAGAATAGATAAAAACATGATGTTATATGAGAAAAAGTAAAACCCTGAAAAAAAAAAAAAAAAAACACTAATTAACATCTTTAACTTGAATACTTATGTTGTGTTCGGTAAGAAGAAAGGAAGAGGTGTGGAGAGAAAATAAGAAAGAAGAAATAAATTTTATTCTGTAAAGATGATGTAAGGAAAGAAAGAAAAATAGGAAGGATGGTCCATCCTTCCTCCTTTACAAATTTTCATCCGCCCAAAAATGGGCGAAAGAAATGAGGGAAGACAAGTAAACTGTTATAGAAGTTTTAAATTAAATAATATCATAAATTATACAAGTTTTAAATTACAATACTATCCTCTATAACTTATAATATTATAAATATTATTGTTTATAATGGTAAAAATAATTAAAATCTTATCTTTCCTTCTCTCTTAAGGAAGATAGGAAATTTTAAGTTTATTCTTTTCTCTTCTATCCAACCGAACAAAAAGAAAGAAATATACAATCTATTCCATAGAGATGTCTCATCCATCCCTTCTCCTCTCCCTTCTATCTAATTTTTTTCTTCTGCCGAAGAGAGCACAAATGATGAGCGTTAGCCTAAGTGAATAAAGGTAGGCTGAAAGTAAGTTTCCCTTTTAGAGAAAAAATATTATGTATAGCATTGATAGGTAAGAATTTAGAAAGAGTTAGACTTGGATGGTTTTGACACATATAGGGGAGATCTAGTGATGCGCTGGTGAAGCAAGGAAGATTAGTTGTAATAGAAGGTAAGAGACGGAGAGGGCTTCCAAAAATAAAATGCGACGAGGTTATTAAAAATGACTTTAAAAAATTAAACATAATAGGGGAAATATTGACATGCCATAGAAAAAATTGGAGTAGGAATTCATATGGTTGACCCCATTTATATGGAATTAAAGCAAGAATGATCATAAGAGAAAAATGTAGTGCTTGAGTTTGCTTGAACTTAAGGGAAAAACAAAATACTTGAATACTTGGGGTACCATTTCTTACCTTAGGAAACTGGCTCCTATCTTTCATGGAATTGCTGAGTGTAGGGAAGACTGCATGACCACAATAACAAAAGGTAAACAAGCTCATGGTTATAGGCATTCCTCTCCAATTCAAAAGCTCTCCTCTTTCATGAAACCCCACACCATGATCAACTGCACCAGCACAAAAAACAGAGCCAACCAGAACAATGGAGACGAAAACCCCGCCGGCCGATACATAAGCCAGCAAATCCAAACTCCTTAACCATGTTGTTGGCAATATGACTAGGGCACTGAGCAGAACAAAACCTTGTTCGCCTCCTAACTTGAGGCCAGCAATGTGAAAGTTGGTGTTGGGAAACAGTTTATTCAAATTGTCCCCTTCTAATATCAGAAACTCAACTGCAACCAAATAGAGCTCAAGATAAATAAAAGTGGACACCATGGCTCTTCCTTTACCCCCAAAGGCCTGCCCGCCTATGTCCGGATAAGTTTTGATCTGTGGGTGAGCATCCATGCATCGTCGTAGTAGTAGTCCTGTGTAGAAACAGAAAACTGCTACCACGAAAAGCATAATCAAGCTCAGCCACCCTCCCTGAGACAGTGCATATGGAATTGACAGTATCCCAACACCTGAGAAAGCAGAGTATGAAACATTAGCCCTCTATTAATGCATTTTTTCAATAACTGAGGTGTCCGGGCTTTGCCCTAACTATTCCACGAGACTTTGCAAGGCTCTATTAGTGCATTTACAATAGCCAAATTCATAAATGTGATTGTATATATTAATGAAATTGGTTTTGTGTCACGATGGTCCATCCTGTGTAGATATTGTCCGCTTTGCATATTCTCTATGCGTTTTCAAAACATGTTTCAGGGACATCACAGTTTGGGAGATAATTTTAACTCCTTGAGTGATATGGAGAAGGAAATGATGGTGAATGCATCAAGAAAACACACATACAAAAAGCTATATATATACACACAGAGAGAGAGAGAGAGACCTGATAAGGCATTAAGCCCATTGAAGCAAGTTCTAATAAAAGAGGTGCCTTCGCTTGGTTGCTGTAATTGTGGAGGCTGGTGTTGGCTCTCTATCTTCTCTCCACTATATGAGTCCATCTTTTGGTGTCTACAATCCAAAATGCATGTCGGTTCATATAATAGAGAAGATGATGAAATGTGAAAAGAGGTGACAAATAATCACACATATATATATATATATATATATATATATAGTCTTCTATTTCTTAAAAAAAAAAAAAAGAAAAAAGAAAAAAAGAGAGAACGATTTTGAAATACTTGGTTGTGGAAAGAAGATTGTGGGGATGAGTAGATTGCCATTCAAGTTCAGCACCAAAAAAAAAAAAATGCATGGTCTGGTACAATCTCAACAGGGAAAAAAACTGCTTAATTCCTCAGGTACAATCACAATTACATTTTTAAAGTGTTATTCATACCTTTTTTTTCTAATCATAGTTTATCAATCTTGAATAACTTTTCAATTTCGTAGACAATCTCAATCTTAATATGATAATTTAAAAATTACAAACGATATTGAAATTAACCAAATTACAAAAATTATATCTCACGTTATTTTTGCAAGTGAGTGGTCAATGTAGATGAGTTTGACTTATAAAGTGACAAGTCACTGACTTTGGCATACTAAAAGAATTTTCAAAATTGAATGAAAAATAAAAGAATAAAACAAATGGAACGTGTAGAAAAAGGTAGAGTATGGTAGGGTTCATATAAAGTTAGTTGTAAGCAATGATCACCAGGACTGACCAATTCATAAAGCGGGTTTTCTTTTTTTTTTTTTATTATTTTTTTTTTATTTTAAAAAAACAAGGTCTAACAAATCCATTATACCTAGGCACGGACTAAGACCAGTGGGGCCCACTGGATTTTTTATATTTTTATTTTATACCTAAATATTTTAGAATTTATGAAGATGCCCCAACTATAATTATAATTCGCCCCTACTGGATTATTTTTCTGGCAATTTATGCTTCAAATTTTTGAGATTTTTTTTAATATGCCCCCACTAATATTACAATTCGCCCTACTAGATTTTTTTTTTTTTTTTGAATTTCATTTTACACTTTGAATTTTAAAAATTTATGAAGAAAACTCTATTAAAATTACAAAAATGAACCCACTATATAAATTTGCCTCCATATTTTAAAAAACTGTCCCCCCTTCACAAAATTTTTCGGGTCCGTCACTGATTATACCGAAGTAAAACGGGTCAAGTGCAAAAAATACTCCTAAAGTATTCTTACCATGCATATCACACTCCTCACGTCAAAAAAAATCCATAAAGTTTCAATTTGGTACAAATAAGTCCCTCTGACAAATTTAAACATTAAGTTGACTAAACTACATTTACGAACTATTTTGTTAAATATATAAAAATAAATAATTTTATAAAATGGAATCCATGTTCTATTTGTTCGTTAACGCGTAAAAGGGAATCCATGTTTTATTTGTTCGTTAACGCATAATTTAGTTGTTGTGAGTAGACCTGTCAATGAAACGGATCCTGATCCGAATCAGATCCGATTAGTCGGATATGGATTGAACAAAAAATCCGATAACCCGATTATAATCCGAATTCGATAATCTGTTAGCCTAACAAATCGGATATGGATTATACTGATTCGATCAGATCCGATCCGATCCGAATAAATTTTTATATATAAATAATTATTTATCAATAATTATATATACACACACACACACACACTCATATCACATTTGTATTAAAGGTAACCCAAAAATACAAAAAAAAAAAAAATCATAATGTTATATGTATAATAGTGTGATGTTCTCATTCACATACTAATAAATCTTCTAATATATATACCAATTATATCATACTTTTTATTCATTAACAAAGAGAAAATAATTTTTTTTTTTTTCTTTTCCTTTCATATTTTACTTATTATTTGTTTTATATCTTTTTCTTATAATCATTGTTTTTTTTTTTTAATTAAAAAAATTCCCTTTTGACATTAATTATATATATATATATATATATATATTTTTTTTTTTTTTTTAATTATAAAAAAACTACATTTTTATCGGATCGGATCAGATTATCAGATCAAATATCCATTTATTAATAAATCAGATTCGGATTAACTTACAAAATATCCGTCGGATTATTGGATCGAATCGACTAAAATGATTATCGGATTCGGATCGGATCAGACCTAATCCGGTCCGAATCCAATTAAATTGTCAAAAGCGAGTAGAAAAGCATTAAGTTCAGGAAAGGAGGCCAAACATATCTTAGAGTGTGTTTGGATTGAGGAAAGTAGATAAGAAGGCAGGGGAGGATTTCTTGTGTTTGGTTTAACAACAATGAGATAAGGGGTAAGTGCAAAAAACACATCGGAAGTATACTTTTTATAGCACTTTTACCCCCTATTTAAAAAAGTGTTTTAAAAATAACTCTATTCTTTTCAATTTGTGTGAAAATAACCATCAATTAATATAATAACCATTTTACCCTTTAACTCTTCCAAAAATGCCCCAACCAAACCTTACTTCTTATTCTTCTTCTTCTTCTTTGTGTGTGTGAGTGTTTTCTCTCCAAGTGGTTTTTAGACTACAAGAATGTATTTGTTAGAATGATTTAGAAGTTTATGTAGTAGCAAAATGACCATTTTTCAGTGGACTATGGTTTGACTTGTATGGATTCCTTCAAATTTCAAAGAATTTAATTTGTACATATCCATTTAACCATGAAAATGCAAAGATTTATAGTCATGGCAATGATTTGGCAACAGATTAACTACATATGCAATATACAATTTAGGGTAAAGTACAGAGACACCCCCTCAGGTTTGGGTAAATGCCATGTAGAGGAAAATTTGCTTATTTTTAGACAATGACACTCCTTCAAGTTTGAAAAATGAACAAAAAGACCCTGAAGATGGTAAATTGACCTTATTACCCTTTCATATTACATTTAATTGACTTAAATACCTTTGAATTAAACCCAAACCCATCTCTAACCCGAACCCAAACCCGCCTGTGTAAAGAACCCTCTCCCATTTTCTCTCTGTATGTACATTGAAGAAATTGGGGCCTGTTCTTGTAAAGAAAAAGACTTTGAAATGAAATGCAAGTTGGAGGAAAAAGGCACAGAGCGGGACGTAAAAGGGATGCCAATAGAACCCCTTTAGTGAAACTAATTGATTGTTCTTCGGCAACAGGAGTGGGGGTACCGGAATCAATGTCGGGATAGACGGATTCCGCCGCCTCCACCTCATTATCATTCTCATTTGGTGGTGCAGGAACCCATTGTCATGGTGGTGGTGATGATGCATGCCACCATGGAACATCATCATAGCAAAGTCAATGTTCTCGCCGGACAATATCATGTCATTAGCGTATGAAATTTCGCGTCCGTGAAGACAAGGGTTTATCGGCTTGAAGCGGTGGTTGCAACTACAGCGAGAGAAAAGGAAAGAGAAGGGACATTTCAATTGGAAGTGACGGTTGATTGGAGCTCAAAGCAGTGGATCTGTTGGTGTTGTGTTTGAGGTCGTCGTAGGTGATGGTGGTTGAGGTATGGCGATTGAGGTTTGTTGCAGCTTTGGTGGTGGGTTTGAGAAGGGTTTTTTTTTTCAATGTAATTGAGAACTGGGTTTGGGTTTGGGTTTGTGATGATGGTGGTTGTGTTGGGTTTAGCAAGTACAGAAATGATGGTGGTTGTGTTGGGTATTGCTTGGTTCGAGTAAGTTCCATTTGGGTTTAGCAAGTACAGAGGTGGCGGTGGCAGAGCTCCGGCGAGGTCGAGGTTGGGGGTTGTGGTTACTATGATTGTTTTTGTGTATATTATATATATATATATATATATATATATATATATGAAAAGGGTAATTTGGTCATTTAAGTATTTTGATATTTTATAATTAAAATAAATAAAATAGTGAAAGTGGACTTTTCACATGTTTAAAGGCTTTATTTGAATTACAAATTTCACAAAGGGTGTGACTGTCCAAAAATAAGCAAACTTTCCTTTGGATGGCCTTACCCCAAACCTCAAGGTGTCTCTGTACTTTACCCTACAATTTAATATGCATGGACAGACTTTTACTCCATAGTGAGTGAGAAAGAGGAATACCAATGGAGGAAAATGGTTCACAAGTTGTAATAGGAAGAGGAAGACACCAAGTCTCTCAAACTACAAATGGTCAATAAGGCTTAAAAGCCTTAAATCAGGGGCAAGCAAGCAACAACAAACTGAGTTTGGTTTTGCCGATGTGAACTGGTTTCGTCGACATGAATTGGTTAGTAAGGCTTAAAAGCCTTAACCACGAATTGAGTTTAGTTTCGCCCACACTCGGAGCTCACCATCGCTTTGTCGTCACTTGGTAGAACATGCCGAAGTGAACTGGGTTTCTGTACTTAGAGCTTCACCGGAAAGAATGGAAGCTTATGTTCGAAGCTTTAGAAAGATGGATTATGGTAACGTCATGCCCATCCAAGCCCAGCCTTTCCACTCAATAGATCCACATCCGTTGCATCACAAGGAGCAATTTGAGGAAGAGTCGTTCATTCGACCCGTACGCCGTTTGTTCCAAAGTGTATCAATCAAATTTCTCTGGTTTATTATTGTCATTCTATCGTCCCCTGTCTTCCAGTAAGATTTCAATCACTAAACACCAACCCCAACACCTATGAAAAAAAGAAAGATTCCACTACGACTACTGACTATATTATCCAATTCTCAGTCTAGTCCTTTGGACTAGAAGAGTAGTGCTACTGATAGAGTTTTGCAACCTTCCAAAATATGTGGGATTATTTGGGCTAGTTGCTGGTCATAACAACTTGGAGTTCTTAGGGATTATTTGGAGTAGGTCTTGACAACTTGGAGTTCTTGTTCACCGACGAGTGTACAACTCACTGGAGATGACAGGTCTTCTCCAGTGTTCCCTTCCCTCTATGGAGAGCAGGGGCGGAGCCAGCATAGGCCCAGGGGGCCCCATGCCCCCCCCCCCGGGCCCATGCTGGCCCATTAGTTTTAATTACAAATGACCTATGATTTATAAAAAGTTTTCAAAATGCCCCCCCTAAAATAATTTTTTTCTAGAAAATGGCCATTAATTTTTATTACACACAAGTCAATAATTTATAAAAAAGTGAAAAATGCCCCGTGA